CACAGAATATATAAATACAGATAAATACATTTAGACCACTTAACTTAATGATTGCTATCGGGATGTGAAGAGACTTTCAACCAACATAACAAAAAATGTTTCTGAAGACAATCACCTGTTGCACCTTAAAGATTTTAAGCGTTTCATCCAGGTCGCCAGAAGCAAACAATGGAGCGCGCTCTGCTGGATAAACTACTTAATTACACCATTTACAAGCATTTTATCTGCGTTTTATGTTCTGTAAAAAAATGATCATATCAGCGGCATATCGGCGCATATTCGCCGATACCGATATATCTGCGACAGGCTCATATCGGCCGATAATATCGGCAAAACAATATATCGGTCGGGCTCTAGTATTCACTGTTATGCTTAATTGATGTCGCTAGCAAAGTCATAACAAATATATGATGAATATTCAATACTTCAGCCAGCCAGGATGTCTAGTAAAATTCATGTTGGTTACAATTAGTGGTCGACCGATATATCGTCCGATATTTGGCATTTTTTAAAATATCGGCATCGGCCGATAAGTTTTCCTGTTTGGCAGATGCGTTCGAGCTTTTATTTTGACGGCGCTGAGAGCGGCAGCGCCTGAGCACACGGTGCTCACATTCTCCCTCTTGTTCGCTGTCGTCGTTAACAGTTCTGTCTAATACGGACAGAAATCTGTCTAATAATCAGATAGAACGGTTAAACAAAGGAATTAAAATGTATACAAAAAGTATTATAACGATTGCTTTTATATTATTAATAATAGAAAGGCAAACAAACATCTAATTTCAAAAACCTTGCAAACTTAGTCGGATCCAGTTGTGAGATCTTGTGAAGTGTGCATTTGTATCCTGCATGATCACGTGTTCTCTGCGTGACGGTCGATCCGTGTGAATTGTATGCTGGCAGGAGGAGAGTTCAGCTTCACTGGAGATGCGCGATCGACAAACTTTAAACTCGTGATTTCAAATTATGCTGCTCTTTATGCAAGTGTTTTTAATTATATTTTTATTATATATTTATTTATTTGTGAAAAATACTTTGTCATCTAAAGTATAAGTATGTTTATTTAACATATTTATTTTTTAATCCATTTTTAAATTATTTTTACATTTAAAATGTAAATGTAAAATATTAATTAAAATAAATAAAATTATATCGGCTTTATATCGGCCATCGGCCACCCTGCTTTCCAAGATATCGGCATCGGCATCGGCTGTCAAAAAACCAATATCGGTCGACCACTAGTTACAATTAACGTCTACAAGTATTTGCGATCAGGTTTTGAAGTAAATCCAACTGCTCATCAAATATTAATATGAAGTTTGATCTTATTAACTTTTTCTCTTTCTTTACAGCAACTTTTCAACTGCCAGTTGCTCTACCGATTGAGTCTACCGGACAACGACCTGACGGTGCTGCCACCGGGCATCGCGAACCTCATCAATCTCAAGGAGCTCGACGTCAGCAAGAACAGTAAGAAAAGCGGCCAATTCATCTCCTCTTTCTTTTTCCTTTTCGGAGTCCAGTTACACTATCGGACAACCCATAACTGAAGCGGAGGCACACTGATATCCGCACTGACTCACTGACCTCTTATCTGCTGTAATTCAATTCATCACGGCCAGCTCCACGTTTTGGATTTCAGTTTACGCTGAAACACACAATTCATTAATTCCAGCCTGCACACTTTCGAATCCTAATAAATTGCCACATTCAACTTAAATATTTTAAGCATTGAAGGAATTTTTTACAGTATTAAATAAATAAATAAAATAAAAGGGCTTATGAGACTAAATAACGATAAAAAAATACAGTATATTTGCAAACAGGTGTGTGTGTTTAAGTTAGGGGTCAGTAAGAAGTCAGCTGTATTTATTTGATTAAAAAAATAAAACTGTAGTATTGTGAAAATTAAAATAAAATAAATCATACTTGACCTAGACTACCTGTTAAATATGTTAAAATTAATTTAATGATTTTTATTTTTAAATACTTTCAAATGAATTTAATGATTTTTATTATTATTATCAGTGTTGAAAACAGTTGTGCTTTATATTTTTGTGGAAACCATGTTGATGAACTTTTGATAAATAGAATTAGTTAATTTTTTTGTAACATTATAAAAGTCTTTACTGTCACTTTTGATCAGTGTAATGCATCCTTGCTGAATAGTATTAATTTCTTTCAAAAATAAATAAATAAAAAATACAGAAATAAAATCTTACTGACCCCAAACTTTTGAAGAGGTGTGTATACACAACACTCAAATCAAATTAACCAAAACAATCAAAGTCAACATGAAAAGCCAAATGATCCTATTTACATTATTAATACATGTTCCTCATCATCCTGTCTTTTTCTTCTTGTCGACCAGTCTGTTTTACATAAGTAAAATGGGTTGTATATTTATTTGCTTTGCACACGTCACTACTGCACAGACGTTCATTTGCAGGTTTACATGACTTTTAATAGATACTCCCTTCCCGATGGGAACGTGTCTGTTTTAGCAGAGCCACTAAAGGTGGGTCACATTATTCGGTGTATGAGAGCTCACCTGTGTGTGTGTGGTTTGCTCTGTGTGGCGTGCGATGGTTTAGTTTGCATCTGAGTGCGTTGGAGGGAGGATATCTTAACATAACATTAATATCACACTCCAGCTCTTGCGGTTAGTAGGACAGGAAGTAAACGGTCTAGCTCTAATGCTGCTTTTCTAAAAACAGCGTTAGGTTTCTGTTAGGGCTGCAACAACTAATCGATAAAATCTACCGCAGGAACGGTATAACGGAAAATTTTAGTGGTTTTGAAACCGTGGCTTTTCCAAACCGCGGTATACCTTGAAACCAGTTATCGTCCCATGTCTAGATGTGGCTCATATGAATTTCAGCTATTTATGTTGGCATATTCAAATTCTGATTTCAGATAATGCTTCTAATCCCAAAACCCCCCAAATATTTAGCATATAAAGTATACTTCCAGTATATAAAGTTTATGTATTATTATTTGGAGCTCTAATAATATTAGTAGTTCTTATCACTATTGAAAACGGTTTTTGCTGCTTAATATTTTTGTGGAAACAATGATGAATAGAAAGTTCAAAAGAACGGCATTTATTTGCAATAGAAATGTTTTTACGGTCACATTCTGTTATCATTTTGTTATCTTATTTTGTTTTTATCTTACTTGCACCAAACGTTTGTCTAGTACTGTATCACGGTTTCCACAATCATGTGAAGCAGCACAACAGTTTTCAACATTGATGATAATCAGAAATGTTCTTGAGCTGCAAATCAGAATATTAGAATGATTTCTGAAGGATCATGTGACACTGAAGACTGGAGTAATGATGCTGAAAATTCAGCTTTGACTCATAAATTACATTTTAAAATATATTCAAATAGAAACTGTTATTTTGCATTGTAATAATATTTCACAATATTACTGTTTTTCCTGCATTTTTATGAAAGAAAAAAAGTAAGTGCAGCCTTGGTGAGCACAAGAGACTTCTTTCAAAACATTAAAAAAAACAGGTAGTGTAGGTCAAGTGCTATTTTATATTACGCTTGAAATCTGTAAATAAAATTTCTAATATAATTAGAAATATATAAAAAATAATTTGAATAAAATGTATATTTAGTTTTTTGTAATAGTGTAAGTTTCCAGGATGTTTTTAAATTAAATAACGTGTTTGTATATTTATTGTCTGTAGTTAATCGTAATGGAACCCAATGTCGTACAGATTGTTTAAATGTTTTCTAAACGCTAGGCAAAAAGACCAGAGAAAACATGAAACCAGCAATTAATAACTGAATAAGTAATCATTTTTTGTTTCTTTAAAATTTCAGGCATCCAGGAGTTTCCTGAAAATATCAAGAACTGTAAAGTCCTGGCCATCGTAGAAGCGAGTGTGAACCCTATATCAAAGTAAGTACATAGCTAGCAGAAATGAACTGTGTGTGCATTCTGTCTGTGATGTAATGAAACACTCTCGTGTCTCTGCAGACTCCCAGAAGGCTTCACGCAGCTCCTCAGCCTGACCCAGCTCTACCACACACACACACACACACACACAGAGTCCTAGACAGAACAAGATCATCTAAGCTCCTGTATCAGATCAGGCAGCATCTAGATCTAAGACTGGCCAAAGTATGTACTACATTAAAATATAAAACGGACAAAACTGTTCCCCGTACACTGAAAGAGTTTTCCAAAGACACGCAAAGCAGGTTTAACAGCTGTTAATCAATTAAAATAACACGTGCAAAATTTCCTCGGAAAGCACCTCCTAACGTTTCCTGGAGCTCATATCATATCTAAAGCCTCAGGAATCGTGCGTTCCTATGAAAATGCAGTGCAGTTCCTGTGAAAGGTCGTGCAGCAGTACTTTTGACATCATAAACATGCACCCACAGCCTGAAATAGACTTCAAATGATCACGCAACATGCAACTCAGTTCCTGTTTCTTGCTGGGAGGTCACCTGAGGACAACAGTTTACATACTTCTATTGAATACTAAAAAGAGGGCAGTATATTTTGAGTCACTAGACCAGTATTGGGACATTAAATTAGCACCTTTATTCTAGAAAAACATGTAAATGTTCATTAGCATCTTGCTATTACATTTTTTATCTTGAAAATCATTGTTACTTAACATTTGTGTTGCATTTTAAACCTCATGTTTGTACATTTTGAACTGAAAATTTAAAAAAAAAAAAAAAATTTCCAGTGGAAATAATATGCTATTTCAGGCACCTTTTATTTAATTTAATTTAATTTAATTTTGTTTTATCTGAGTTTTTGTCAGTTTATTAATATTTTATAAATGTATGTATTTTTATATAAATAATTTATATATATTTTCTCTCTCTCTCTGTTTCCTCAGACTAACCAAACTGCAGATTCTGGAGCTGCGGGAGAACCAGTTAAAGATGTTGCCAAAGTAAGTGCCCCTCTGGGATTTATTTGAATTACTAAAATATTAAAATGATGATCCGTGCTGCTGCACCCCTTCTGATAATCGCATTATAAATACAGACAAACGTCTGTCCCTCTGTGGCATCATATTGTTCAGTCTTACGTAAGAGGCTCTGAAGTGACATGCTGTGACAGGTTTTATAATCATTTCTGGCTCTGGAGACAATATTGCTTCATATGAGGGCTCGTTTTTTGGTGATTTTTTTAAAATGGCGGATGATAAAACGGCCAATAATTCTCTTGTGACATCTGTAAAAAACATCCATTGTCAATAGTGTAGTGATGTATGAAACACAGCTCACACTGCAGGAACATGTGGCCCAAATCTGATCCCTAATCTTTTATGCTCATGTGACTTGGATCTGTTTTTGTCATGACAGTGTGATGAAAAACTTTCATGAAAAAAACAGCACAAACCACATGGAATCTGATCTTTTCAATTCCAATCTGTGCCACTTCCACATGTGGTACTAAATCCGACACAGGTCAGGTGTTTTGGAATGCGACCGCAGTGTGAACAGTCATGTATTGTCATTGGAATTCATGCGACTTTTACGCCACTCTAGATCAACATTCGTCGCTTTTCTGCACTCGTGGGAGTCACTTCAAATATTTTACATAGCCAAAGTTATCAAGACAGTTGCAAAAGGTAGTCAGTGGAAGTACATTGACGTGTCAGAACTCATAAGTATTACAGTGACAACTCTATATACAAGCAAAACATAAGGGCTCGTATCATAAAAGTTTCAAAACTCGGCTCACTTCTGTAACATCCTTGTCTTTATTTTTCATATTACCTGAGCATAATTTCGTTGGCTTCTGAGGCAGATCACACTATAAATAAACGCATAATCACTTACTTCCTCTGTGTTTATTTCTGTATGACAGCGTAAGTAAGCAATTGGCAAGTGTTGCCAAGTCCACAATTTTCACGCGGAATTGGGATACTTTTTTACTGTTGCCACGGGTTCTTTTTCAACTCTGTGGGTTAAAGCAACCCCATTAATGGATATTTCCCCCCCGGATTGCGATTGCGCTAGTTTTGTACTTGTTTTGGACTTTGGATTTGAGAAGCAATTGGGCAGATTTTATTAAGAAAACCTGGCAACCCTGTTTGTGTTGTTCTTTTGCACATGATGCGGGTCAGTTCAGAACCATGATCTATTCACACTGGAAATCTGATATTGGCCACATTTAAAACAACAATGTGAACAGCTATACAAAAAATATCTGATCCAAGTAAAAATCAGAATTGAGAGCACTAAGGCTCATAGTGTGAACACAGTCACGGTCACTTTCAAACCGAGCAGCTTTCTCTTGGTCAGTGCGGTGAATTCAATGCAATTAACTTCATCCATGATTGCATGGATTCCTATTGAAATGATTGGGGTTCACCCCAGAAAATTCTCCCAACAACAGTAAATGTGACCACTAGGGTTGGGTACCGTTCACATTTTAACCGGTACGGTACCGGTATCGGTACCTGAATTTCGGTGCCGGTACCCAACGGTACCTTTTTTCGGTACTTTACTCTCTGTGTAATTATTCAAAACTCTGCTCTCTTCTGTCACATCCTTGTCTTTATTTTTCATATTACCTGAGCATAATTTCGTTGGCTTCTGAGGCAGATCACACTATAAATAAACGCATAATCACTTACTTCCTCTGTGTTTATTTCTGTATGACAGCGCAGCGCGCTGTAAGTGAGCAATTGGCAAGTGTTGCCAAGTCCACAATTTTCACGCGGAATTGGGATACTTTTTTACTGTTGCCACGGGTTGTTTTTCAACTCTGTGGGTTAAAGCGACCCCATTAATGGATATTTACCCCCCGGATTGCGATTGCGCTAGTTTTGTACTTGTTTTGGACTTTGGATTTGAGAAGCAATTGGGCAGATTTTATTAAGAAAACCTGGCAACCCTGTTTGTGTTGTTCTTTTGCACATGATGCGGGTCAGTTCAGAACCATGATCTATTCACACTGGAAATCTGATATTGGCCACATTTAAAACAACAATGTGAACAGCTATACAAAAAATATCTGATCCAAGTAAAAATCAGAATTGAGAGCACTAAGGCTCATAGTGTGAACACAGTCACGGTCACTTTCAAACCGAGCAGCTTTCTCTTGGTCAGTGCGGTGAATTCAATGCAATTAACTTCATCCATGATTGCATGGATTCCTATTGAAATGATTGGGGTTCACCCCAGAAAATTCTCCCAACAACAGTAAATGTGACCACTAGGGTTGGGTACCGTTCACAACCCCATTAATGGATATTTACCCCCCGGATTGCGATTGCGCTAGTTTTGTACTTGTTTTGGACTTTGGATTTGAGAAGCAATTGGGCGGATTTTATTAAGAAAACCTGGCAACCCTGTTTGTGTTGTTCTTTTGCACATGATGCTGTTCAGTTCAGAACCATGATCTATTCACACTGGAAATCTGATATTGGCCACATTTAAAACAACAATGTGAACAGCTATACAAAAAAAATCTGATCCAAGTAAAAATCAGAATTGAGAGCACTAAGGCTCATAGTGTGAACATAGTCACGGTCACTTTCAAACCGAGCAGCTTTCTCTTGGTCAGTGCGGTGAATTCAATGCAATTAACTTCATCCATGATTGCATGGATTCCTATTGAAATGATTGGGGTTCACCCCAGAAAATTCTCCCAACAACAGTAAATGTGACCACTAGGGTTGGGTACCGTTCACATTTTAACCGGTACGGTACCGGTATCGGTACCTGAATTTCGGTGCCGGTACCCAACGGTACCTTTTTCCGGTACTTTACTCTCTGTGTAATTACAAAAACATTGTAAACAAGTCCAAAAGCCTTAATTTCAATATTTTGAACAATAGGACCCTACAAACTTTTTCTTTCTTTCTTTCTTTCTTTTTTTCCCCCCAGAAATTCTTGTTTTAATTTTTCTGAAAATCAAATGAAGGCATTAAACATTTATTTTAAATCAAATGAAATTTTTATTTTTTAGCAAACAAACTGAGGTTTACTCTTGAAATTATTGCATGGAAGAAAAATTATGTGAATATTCCTTTAAAACATTTTTTAATAGGCTAATAATTGTATTATTTTTTTCTACAATTAAGTGATTAATCTGGTTGTAATATTTATTTTTATCATTTAATTGTTTTATTTAAATTTGATAGAAAATTGAATATTTAAAGATGTACATTATACTGTACAAAAGTAATACAAGAGTAATATATTCATGTTACATGTTAAACCGTACTTTTATTTTGACAGGTTGCCATGAAGTTTCTGTGTGTATACAGTATGATGATGCTAGTTTTCTCAAATGAAAAGGTAAAATTCTCGCGAAGTGACTCTCACAGCAGCTCTGGAGATTAAGTT